TATATACACATGCATAATGGATTTTAGCAGAATTTCCATATGTACTTTATATTTCACACAAAGTTGATGCATTTCTACTTTTTTTGTGTCATTTCTGTCAAGTGTTCTGTTTCCGAGTCGTCACCAAATCACTTTAGGGATAAGCGTCTCCTAATATGATGTAATCAGGCAGGTCTGTAACATGACATAATTATGCGTGTCTATAACATGATGTAATTATGTGAATCTATAACATGATATAATTATGCATGCCTATGAGTAAACTTTATAAGAGATGAATGTGGGCTAATTATATTTTTGTTCCTCAAACTGGTGAATTTGTAGAAATACGGTCACATATGGTTCAGATGTAGCCATGAAAATGTGACCATATTTCTGGATGGTGGTTTGGATAGGGGAAGGGATGGAGATTATTTTGTTCTGAGAGTTACTTGGCTCCTACATAGTCTTGTTCCCACCACTGAGACTGAGAATTAATGTTAGTGATATTAGTGAAAATGGAAAATTTCTCCAACAAAATCCTGCAGCAAGCCTTTATGAACTAGTTTAAAACCTACACATTTTTTTTTTCTTTTTGAAATTCTGGTTGGTAGATACTATTGGTTTTATACCCCATATAGAAGCTCCAGATGTTAACAAGCAACTCAACTTTTGATAGTTTTCAGTGTGATTACTTTTAGAAATTGCCTGTTGAGCTTTGATTTTATAACCATATTGGTTAAGAAAACCATTGATGTGGCTGGAGAGATGTTCAGTAAGTCTGATGCTCTTGCAGAGGACCTGAGTTCAATTCCAAGTACCCATATCAGGTAGCTCACAACCACCTGTAACTTCAACGCCAGGGATCCTGTGCCCCCTTCTTCTGCCTCTATGGCCATCTGTACACATGGGGCATATGCTCACATAGACACACACATGTAAGTAAAATTTAACTAAATTTATATATGTATTTGTTAGAGACAAGGTCTTGTGTATTCCAGGCTGGCCTCAAACTTGCTAGGCACGAACTTACAGGCACGAACCTCCAGGTCCAGCTTCACTGATGTCCCTGAAGAACCTCTGTGTTGGAGTACTCAGTCCTAAATGGGACATCTTCATTGAACCTTCCCCTCAGGACTTAGGGTACTCACTATTCAGAAGAGGCAGAAAGATTGTAAGAGCCAAAGTGGTTGGATGACTCCCAGGAAATAGTGTCCTCCAAACACAGCAGGACTGATGCAAATATGACTTCACAGGGACTGTGTAGTAGCATGCATAGGGCCCTCGGAGGCTCAAGCCAGGTGGGGTTCCTCCGGTAACCAAGAACCTGTGTGCAAAGGATACTCACTTGCAAACGAAAAATTAGTTTTCTTCAATGGAGTCTCACTGGGGTGTCTGGCAGTAGATGGCCAACACAAAATGAACCCAATGGAGTTTTTCTAGACTTTTTGTCTCAGATTGCTTTGTTTGGGCATGTTTTGTCTGATTGGTTTTGCCTGCATATTTTGTTCTCTCTCTCTCTCTCTCTCTCTCTCTCTCTCTCTCTCTGTGTGTGTGTGTGTGTATTGTGTACACTTCGTGCATTTTTGCTTTGTTTTTGTTTTTATCATTTGCTTGTTTATTTTTTTTTGCTACAGAGAGATTTATTAGGGGAGGGGAGAGTGAAAGGCCTTGTAGGAGTAGGCACATGAGAGAGGCCTGCAGACAGACATACATACAGACCAGGGCATTTGCTTGTTTTTTTGTTTGTTTGTTCGTTTGTTCATTTTTTTGTTTTTGTTTCCAGGGCTGAGGACCGAACCCAGGGCCTTGTGCTTGCTAGGCAAGCGCTCTACCACTGAGTTAAATCCCCAACCCCTATTTGCTTGTTTTTTGTTTTTTGTTTTTTGTTTTTCTATGTTATCTTTTTTTTAATTATTATTAATTCAAGTTAGGGAACAGGCTTGTTTCACATGTAAGTCCCCTCTCCCTCTCCCTCTCCCTCTCCTTACCCCCATTCTTTCTCCCCCACCTCCACCCTACCCCCCACCCCATCCACCACACGCTCTCAAAGTCCCTTCTTACACCAGGGAAAAATACTAATCCACTTCCAGAGGCTCCCTGGAGTGCAGAGGCCTCCTTACATTTGCTTGTTTTTTAAAGAGAGAAGGGATGTGCATTTTGGTGGGTGGGTAGGATCTGGGAGAAATTGGGGGAGGAAAAAGTATGATCAAAATATATTGTATGAGAAAAAATTTTTCAATTAAAATCAAACAAAACCTCTGTGACATTTTGCCAACTGGACGGCCTTTTCCACAGAAGATGTTTGTAGGTGAAAGGCATCAGCAGTTGACTTTTTGAATCTGTGGATGACTTCCTGGAGTAAGGACAGGCTTAGAGCTGCATACAAATGTGACACTGAAATGCAGCCACCACCCTGCCTAATGTTACCTCTTTTTCTCTCTGGTTATAGCTCCCATTGCATTAAGTCCTTCAGACGGATGGTGTTGTGGTACGTTTTGTCTGATCATTTTTGATACTCAGTGATTTAATTTAGGATGAGTTTTTGGTAGCTTTGTGTTTGCTTTAGGGAGAACTTGGCATCATCAGACAGAACTCTGAGGATCATGCTTAGAAAGTATGAGTGATGTTTTGATATCTACTACTGATGCTAACTCATGGGAATTTTTTCTTTTTTGAGGTGCTGGAGAGGAAACTCAGTGTCTTGCCCCATGTTAGGCAAGCTCTCTACTACTGAGCTACGTGTTCAGCTCCAGTAGTGTGACTGTTATTTGTCCAATTCAGGTTAAATGCCTTAGTGCAGACAACAGTATTGAATTAGACTAAGGTTCCTGGAAGGAAGCTAGAGCAAAACTTATTTTTTCATAGCCACAAGGCAATACTATGACATGGAGTTAATAGTGCTGTGTGTGTGTGTGTGTGTGTGTGTGTGTGTGTGTGTGTGTGTGTGTGTGTGTGCACGTATGTATGTGCGTGAGCGCGCATGTGCGTGCACGCATGTTTGTTTTGCAGTGCTAGGACAAACCCAGGTCCTCCTACTTCCCTTGGCAAAGGGTTTTACTAGCCTGCTGTGCCCCACCCCAATCTACAAATGGGTTTGTTTTTTTCTTTAAACAATAAAATGTGCTTTGGCTTGAAGCTGATGTTAACTTGGTGTTCTTGCCATAAATTGTCTGCTCACTACCCCAAATGCCCTGCCAATTTTGGCAGACAAAAACTAGCCACTTTTAAAAGGTAACATCAAAGCTGGAACTTTGAAAGTGAGCCATTTATCCTTGTACTGAGTGCCTGCCATAGAGCCTGGGGACTAACCTTTCTCTCTCTCTTTTGGCACTGACAACCAGGGAAGAGAAGAGTGACCTTGAGCCCTAATCTAGAAATTGTCATGCATTGTTCTAATTATAAGCCACAAAATTGTCCAGTCACTTATATATAGAAAAGATCTTCAACAGTGGTTTTCAGCATTTTTTTTTTTATATAAATCTGAGCAATTCAGATAGGACAAGTGCTTATCTGACTAAACTCACTGACAGCTCCTGAATCTTTGAAGGTTGGTGAGGTCAACAATGGCATCTTCCATGAGTTGCTTGTGGGTCTGGCAGCCGTCCTTGTGGGAAGTAACTATGAGTGCCTCCTTCCCTAAAACTTGAGACCTTCTAATATTAGTTTCTCACCCATAGGACTGACATCTGGGATTCTCTTGGGTTGACACCATTTGAGAAGAATAAGTCACCAGCAGGAACTACCTAAGGGAACATTTTTGATAAAATCTGTACATGCTTCTCCTGGTAAGAGAACAGGTTTGTGTGTGTGTGTGTGTGTGTGTGTGTGTGTGTGTGTGTGTCTTAGAAATAATTTTAGGTTTATTTTATATGTATGAATGTTTTGTTTCACACATATACATATACATATACATACATACATACATATATATGTATGTATATATTTACATGTATATTCATACATATATTTGTATGTATATATGTACCATGTGCCTGCTGCCCAGAGAGGTCAGAAGAAAGCACTGGATCTCCTGTAACTGGAATTACGGATGGCTGTGAGTGGACATGTGGGTGCTGGGAAATGAGCCTAGGTCCTTGCAAGAGGCATCCCTCTGGCATCCAGTCTTTTTTTCATATAGTTGTGCCATATCTTGAGCCTTTCACCTTTCTTTCTTTCTTTCTTTCTTTCTTTCTTTCTTTCTTTCTTTATTTTAAAGATTTTATTTATTATGTATACAACATTCTGCTTCCATGTATATCTGCACACCAGAAAAGGGCACCAGATCTCATTACAGATGGTTGTGAGCCACCATGTGCTTGCTGGGAATTGAACTCAGGACCTCTGGAAGAGCAGTTGGTGCTCTTAACCTCTAAGCCATCTCTCCAGCCCCTTTCTTTCTTTCTTTCTTTCTTTCTTTCTTTCTTTCTTTCTTTCTTTCTTTCTTTCTTTATTTCTTTCTTGTTCTTGAGACAGGGTTTCTCTGTGGCTTTGGAGCCTGTTCTGGAACTCGCTCTGTAGACCAGGCTGGCCTCAAACTCACAAAGATGCACCTGCCTCTGCCTCCCAAGTGCTGGGATTAAAGGCGTGCACCACTGACTCTTGCCTTTCACATTTCTCTAACTCAAACTGTCAATCCCTTGTGAAGGAAACAGATGCTTACCGACTTCTCCAGTCAGCCTTTCTTAAAGTTTATGAACTTGAACTCACTTAACAAACCAGACAACTTAGTCTGATCCATACATGCAACCCACAGTTTGCTTTGCATTCCTTAGCATTCTTCTTCCAGTTAAGATGTCAGGCCTTGGGGGCTGGAGAGATGGTTCATAGGTTAAGGGCACTGACTGTTCTTCCAGAGGTTCTGAGTTCAATTCCCAGCAACCACATGGTGGCTCATAATCATCTGTAATGAGATCTGGTGCCCTCTTCTGGTGTGCAGATATACATGGAAGCAGAATGTTGTTTACATAATAAATAAATAAAATCTTAAAAAAAAAAAAAAGATGTCAGGCCTTGGACCCAGGCAGCCCGAGTCTAACACCTGGCACTACCTCTTACCAGGTTATAAGATTTGAACTTGAACATGTAGGCCAACCCCTCCGGGCTTCTGTCCCCTCTGGGAAGTAGAAATAATCACGATGCAGACCGTGTTGTGTTGTTCAAGTATTAAATAAGATGATTCATGACAAGTGCTTAGAGGCATGACAGTATGTAACTGCCACGCAGTTATTTTCAGGAAAGGGTATTAATGATGTCAGTCAAGGTGTGTTTGGTTACCAGGAACAGAAGGCTCTTCGTGTTAATGCAAATGACTTGAAGGTTTTCTTGGTAATAACTCAAGCAGTTGCCTCCAGCCCCCAAGACAGCTGGAACAGGTGGAAAATCCCAGAACTAAAAGTTGACAGCGTCACAGGCTGCTTCTTCCATCTCCCATGGTATTGTCCACTTCTCTCTGAATATTGGCTCTATTTTGCTTTCTGTAGACCAGCTTTCTTGCTGTGCCACTGTATGTGTTTAGAAACACCCCAAGTCTATTACGATATTAGTTGAGCAGTCCCCGTCATGTGACTGTTCCCAGATGCTGCTGCTACATTTCTAAGCCAGATGGAATGAGGCTGTGCAGTATGTCAGCCTTTTCTCAGGACTGCTGGGACAGGCTGGCAACAACCGGTAGCTCTGGGGTAACCACATGGCGGTACCCAAATTATGTATTAAAAATCTTTTCATTCAAGGGTGATATATATTAATAAAAGGGTGTCTGGATGAATTTTGACAAATTGAACACACCTATGTGCAGAGGGCAACCTAAAAACCCAAACCTGTAGCTGCATGCCTCCTCCCTCTCCACTTTGAACAATCAGATTAGCCATGTTTTTAGACTTCAAATTTGGGAATTATAGACTATCTCCTTATTTTGTATCTAGATCCTTTTTTTTTTTTTTTTTTTTTTTTTTTTAGATGGGTTTTTTTTGTGTTTTTGGGGGTTTCTGTGGAACTTGTAGACCAGTCTCGAACTCACAGAGATCCACCTGCCTTTGCCTCCTGAGTGCTGGGACTAAGGCGTGTTCCACCAATGCCCGGCTCCTCCCCCCCTTTTTTTTTTTAAAAGATTTTATTTATTATGTATACAACATTCTGCTTCCATGTATATCTGCATACCAGAAGAGGGCACCAGATCTCGTAACGGATGGTTGTGAGCCACCATGTGGTTGCTGGGAATTGAACTCAGGACCTCTGGAAGAGCAGTCGGTGCTCTTAACCTCTGAGCCATCTCTCCAGCCCCCTTTTTTCTTTTTTTAAAAGCAGATTTTTCTTGTATGTGCATGAGTGTCTCACCTGCATATATGTTTGTACACTGTGTGCATGCTTAGTACCTCTGGTGGTCAGAAGAGTGTGTGGGATTCCTCCGGAACTGGAGTTCCACAGGGATGGTTGTGGCTCACCATGTGGGTACCAGGAGCTGATTGCAGGTCCTCAGCAAGATCAGCCAGTGCTCTCACCTGCTAAGTCATCTCTCCCTAGCATTGTGTGAAGCACAGAATTCACATCGCTATCTGGTGCAGATCTGCAGAGTACTCGCTCATATTCTGTGTGACCATGCCATGTTTTATCTGGTCCACTGCTGCTGGCCAATTGGGTAGGTTTCTATTTTGTTAAATCTTTTTTAATAAGGAATCATATATCCCAGGTTATAGCTGAGGACAACGTTTAACTTTAGATCTTCCTGCCTTCACTTCTCCACTTTGAGATTACAGGCCTATACTACCACACACAGTCTATCTGTGCTAGACCAGCACTCTACCAACCGAGCTACAAGCAGTGTATGAACTGAGCTACTTCCCCAGTCCCGTAAGCCCTTTTTGTATCTTTGTTGTTTTTTGAGACAGGGTTCTCTGTGTAGCTCTGGCTGTCCTGGAACTCACTCTGAAGATCAGGATGGCCTCGAACTCAGAGATTCACCTGCATCTGCCTCCCCAGTGCTGGAATTAGAAGCCTGCACTGGTTTTTATAGTGATGCTGTGACCGCCTGTTGAACTTGTTGATGTTGACTGTTTGCTACCAGAAGCTTATGGAATATGTGTCCAAGTATCTTCATCCTCTGTAGTTGAACTGATGCTCTCCTAAGAGAATACTGTTTGACTGTATCTGGGAGCCTCTTCTCTTCTTCAGGTGACTGTCATGGTGTGAGGAGGGCATAGCCATGTTGTCAACACTGGGTAGCTTTGATTAAGTGCTCAGCATTTCAATTTCCCTCTGTTCTTTGGACATGAGCTCTATTTGTAGGTAGGTTTGGGGTGATCTGTTGTGTAGGCTAAGTTGATGTAGGTGTGGACATGAGATCTAAATGGAAGCAATCACATTTTTCTTCTGGGAATTTAAAATTAGGAACTATTAGAGGCAGACTGCTGCTGGCAGACCCTGGCTTCAGACCGTAGGGGACCAGAAGCATAATGTGTCTTTTTTCCCCTAATTCCTAATTTCCTATCCTAATTCCTTAGGACAGACAGGGATCTCTTTATATGGTTGTTAAGTCGCACTGTAAACCTGTTTCAGATTAGTTCCAAAATGTAAAGTAGAGATAGTGTTATCAGAGCTTTGTCTATGGTGAGGCCAGTGAAGGCTAACTTTGTTTTTGTTTTGTTACTTCAGCTCCTTTCCAGAAGTAAGACAACACTGGATTATGATCAAGTTTTTTAAGCCAGAAATTTTGGTGACAACACAAGTCCATGGGAAGAATAAGGGGAACTTGATCCAGGGAAGGTATTAGAATTTCAAAAGACAGGTGTAGAGATCCTGGGGTCAAGGTGTCTTAGAGTTTCTATCCCTGTGAAGAGACACCATGAACATGGCAACTCTTATAAGGAAAACATTTAATTGAGTTATCTAACAGTTCAGAGGTTCAGTCCATTATCATCATGCTGGGGAGCATGGTAGCATGCAGGCAGACATGGTGCTGGAAAAGTATCTGAGAGTCCTACATCTTGCAGGCAACAGGAAATTGATTGAGACACTGGGCAGTATCCCGAGCATAGGAAACCTCAAAACTGGCCCCCACAGTGACCCACTTCCTCCAAGGCCATACCCACTCCCACAAAGCCACACCTCCGAATAGTACCATTCCCTAAGAGATTATAGAGGCCAGTTACATTCAAACTACCACAGAGGGCTTTTTAAGTCTTGGTGATTGACAGAATATAGGTTGTAAAGAGAGACATTGAAGAGTACACCAGGTTTGGGGTTTCTGCCTTTGGAAAGATGGAGGTAAAGTCATTATATAAACTAGGGTATTCTGGGAGAGCAAGGAGGAAGGGGTAGAGATGAATTCACTGTGGAAAGTAGGAAATTTAATATCCTGGTGAAATAACTATATTGTTCTGGTCAAGAATGTGGGGCTCAAAGTTGGGACAGCTTGGAGTCCTGGCCTCTGCCCTGCACTCTGTGGCCCTAGGCACTTGCTTCCTGGAACTTTGTGAAGTTTCACTTCCCCCTCCATAGGGTGGTATCTCCTAGCCAGACTAAAAGAAAAAGAAAAAGAAAAAAAAAAAAAAAAAAAAACCAAAAACAAGACAGGCATGGAAAGGGCACAACCTACTGCCTGGCAATTAAGTATTCATAAAATATGCATTCACAGGCTTTTGCAGCTGTGGAGGAATCTAGGACACCACTCAAAACGAGCCAGAGGAGCCCTGTAGTGAGGGAACTGCTGCCGGTGGAACTGATACTCAAGCAACCGCTTAAAGTGGCAAGAAAGCCAGAGTCACACTGCTGGTTTGGCCCACCTTTGAGA